TGCTTGATTGCTTGTGACAGTGTCTCACTCTAGCCAAGGCCATCCTGTAACACACTATGTGATCGGAATGTCTGTAGCCTCACAGCAATTCCCATACCTCAGCCTTGTGTGTGCTGAGATTGCAAGTGTGAACCACCATGCCCAGCATCTCAGCCTCTCTTCCTTTCACACTTCTGCCTTCCTTTCCTACATTTAAGGACTCATGTGGTTTGAATGGGTCAGTCTCATCATTAAGGACAATCTACCTTTTCATGATCCTCAATATGTAACCACATCTTTTGCTTAAGAAGGTAATGTATTAATAGGTTCTGAGGCTTTTGAGCATAGCTGTCTTTAGGACTATTTCCCTATCTGCCATGCCTTTTAGAAACTAACTCTTTTTCCAGTACGCTTGTCAGTTTGTATACCTTATGTGTTAATGAATATTTGCCTTAAATCTTGCATGTAAGCTAAAGAATTAAACTCAATAAAGTTTAAGGTTTCTAAAACTCTAGAATTTCTATGAAACCTCATACTGGAAAAAGATGTGATGAAATGAACCTAATGATCAATGGGAAAGTTATTATTATTTTCTATTCATGGATTTTTCTGGAGTGTACATTTCATATAATCCTGCCTAACTCCTTCCTTCTCACACTTGGTAATCTTCTTTGAAGGCAGTCAATCTCTACAAAAGTTGACTTCTTCAGAAAGAAATTGACTCACCTCCACAAAACTGTAATAACTGGTCCCTTGAGAATTTTTATCTACTTATTATTTATGTTACAGCTTGGGTATAGCTTTCAGCTAGACCGTCTTACACTCTTGCTTCTGCCTTGCTAATATGGGGTAGTAGAAATTGTTTCCCTTTCAACTCAGTTTTTAAATCAATTTCTACCCCTGCTGAAATGTGATGTATGTTTACCAAAGTCTTAAGAGATACAATGTGTTAACTTATCATTCACATACAATATTAATCAAGTATTTTTATTTGCACCACAACAACGTCTCCTCTTAAGTCTTAACTTGTTTAGGGGCAGAATGGTGGGGTGTGGGTATCAAATGCTGGAGCAGTGAGAAGAGAAAGACCATCCTTCACGTGAAGTATGTAGCAGTATGTGTGCTTATCTAATGTTGGAGAATTAAAATAGAAAGATCATCATTCAGGTGAAGTATGTAATAGTCTACATGCAGCAGGTATTAATTAGATGTGAACTAAGTTTGTTGCATTAGCAGGAGCAGCTAGATTGAGCCTAACATCCCTGACTCCTCAGAAACCTTCAGTCCTAGAAAACTCTGGACATTTATTTTTGCTTACTGTGAGCATGTTGGAAAAGAAAAGAATAACACTGCCTTCTACCAGGTTTTTGACTTACACGAAATTACTTAATCATTCAGGATTGATTTCCTCCTCTGTAAGTATGAAAGAGTTTGTGTCTAACACACTGTCTATATAAATAACACACATTCTGTCTGTGAAACTATCTCTATTGGTTAGGTCTTCTTAGGCTGGCAGTGATTCTCAACCTGTAGGTCATGACCATTGGGGGTTGAGTGACCCTTTCACATATATCCTGCATATCAGATATTTGCATTATGGTTCATAACAGTATCAAAATTAGTTACTAAGTAGCAAGGAAAATAATTTTATGGTTGAGGGTCACTACAACATGAGAAACTGTATTAAAGAGTTCTAGCCTTAGGAAGATTAAGAACCATTGGCCTAGAGAATTAACCACAGAAGGTTTTGCTGGATGTGTAAAGACACTTGCAGCACTGTTTCAAGTCCTTTCTCCGAGATATACCCCTTGAAGACTTTTTATTTTTAAGGAAGAAGAATTTTGAGGATGATTGTGATGATGAAAGTAAACCTTTTCTTTTAGTGATTTGTTGATTTGATGAAAGTTTTCTTTACATCTGTCTGTCTATCTATCTATCTATCTATCTATCTATCTATCTATCTATCTATCTCTCTATCTAAGCACTTTATGTCCTGATCCCAGCCCATTCCCTCCTCTTCTTCCAGTACCACCTTCATGCCCCCCTAACACTATTCAACCCTCTCCTTGTTCTCAGAGAAGCAGAGGCACTGAGGAGGACGTATCAACCCACCCTGGCCTCTCAAGTATCAGCAGGACTCAGCATGTCTTCTCCTCCTGAGGCCTGACAAGACAGTCCAGCTAAGGGAAAGAAATCCAAAGGCAGGCAACAGAGTCAGAGATAGCTCCTACTCCCTTTGTTAGAGGACCCACATGTTTACCACTCTGCAAATCTGCTACATGTGGAAGGAGTCTAGGTCCAGTCCCTGCATGCTCTTTATTTGGTGGTTCAGTCTCTGTGAGCTCCCCTGGGCCCCATATTGCTTTACTCTGTAGGTCTTCTCATGCTGGTCTTGATCCCTGCAGTTCCCTTTATCTTTCCTCCCACTCTTCCACAGAACTCCCTGAGTTCAACCTGTTGTTTGGCTGTAGGTTTCTACATCTGTTTCCATCAGCTGCTAGATGAAACTTCTCTGAAGACAGTTCTGCTGAGCTCCTGTTTGCAAGCATAGCACGGTATCTAATAGTGATGGGATGGTTCTCTCCCATAGGGCGGGTCCTAAGTCCAGCCAGTCACTGGTTTGCCATTTCCCCAACCTCTGCTCTATCTTTAATTGCACACTTCTTGTAGGCAAGGCAAATTTGGGTCAAAAGTTTTATAGGTGTGTTGGTGTTCCCCCTCCCTCTGCTAGAAGCCCTACCTGGCTACAGGAAGTCTGGAGTTTAGGCTCCTTAGCCCTAGCTGAAACTAGGGGCCTGAACTAGGAGCCTCCCCTTTCCCAGAGATGCCTTGTTCTGTTCTCTCTCAGTTCTCTCCTGTAAGACAGGACATGAGGGTGCAGGGATTTAATCCCAGACTTGGGAGGCAGAGGCAGGCCTGGTCTATAGAGCAAGTTCCAGAACAGATAGGACTACACAGGGAAATACTACCTTAAAGAGAAAGGGGGTGGGGGAGAAAGTTTTGAAGAATTTTTTAAGAATGTAAACAGAACTTAGTGTCGCCCAGACACTGTTTTCTTATATATTGTTCAGCATTTGTTCACATGGTCCCAGTAAATGCACATCTTTCCTGTATGCTACCTCTCCAGTATCTCCTGAGACTGTACAGACAGACATTTTCCCCTTGCCTTTGAATGACTCTCAATTTTCAGGAGTACAGCTGAGTGCTACGATCTTTTTCACACTTTATTTAGCATCTAACGTCTTCACCTCAGTCTTCAATGAATAAAAAAAAAAGATTCACATTTTTATTACTAAGAGCAGGACTGGATCTATCTCTTATACTCTCCATCTTTCTGTCTCTCTCTCTCTCTCTCTCTCTCTCTCTCTCTGTGTGTGTGTGTGTGTGTGTGTGTGTGTGTGTGTGTGTGTGTATTGAGTGGAAAATCAGGGTATAGACTAGTTGACTTTTTTACCTTACAATAAGATTTCCTGAAGACTTTGTATAATGGAAAGGCCTCTGGCTTAGTGTTCAAAAAGGACATTTAGGCAGACTCTCCTTTGAGTCAGAGAATTATTAGGATGGTGATTAATTCCATAAAGAAAAGGGCCACATCATGGTATGAGCTTTAAGGAGAGGTCTTTATGGCTGACTGCATGTTGCCACACATCCTAAACTACCCAAACCATTCCATACTACTGCCATAGCTAACATGCCAGATTTGTTTTTTTAAACTTGCCCTTTGTGGTTGATTATTGTGTATTATTAGCACACTGTATGGTAGTCATTGCCTTGCCTAATATGATGGTCATTTTAACAATTGAGCCAGCACCTATCTTACGAACAGTTTTTACATCCCTTTCCTGTTAAAATAGATTGGTATGTAGTGCACAGTTCTTGTTGTTGTGGGGTGGGTGAAATGGTTTTGCAGACTCCTGTGAGGTCTGAAGCTGCCAGGGTACGCAGAAATCCTCGAGCGAATACTTGTGAATGTCAATTTGGGAAATTCACGATAGCGCAGAACATGTGAGGAAGTCCCAGGATGAATTGAGATTTCTTTGGCAGAATCATATCTAGGTGAAAATTCAGTTCAGAAATTACCTTGAGACCCTTGTATTGTCCTCGGTGTTGTGGTTTCCTGATGTTTGATACACAGAACAGGGGCTGTCGAATGATAAGTCTGAATGCCAGTTGACGGCGACTCAGAGGAAGCACTGTCTCACTGAGACTTCCTGATCTCCTTCCTAGTGTGTCTCTTGTCCTGTAAGTTTATCAAATATCTTTTCAATGTACAGAATTCGGGTGCCACCCTCCGCAAAGTGCCGGATCGTATGAGAATTAGATTTGCCCACCGTTGGTGTAGCCTGCTAGAACGATGGCACTGGCGTCCCTGCCTGCATGTTTCTCTGGAGCAAAGGGTAGCTTGTGATTCAGTCTCTCTGCGTTTGAGTTATTCAGGTTGCTCTCTTACAGTCACCGGAAGACAAGGTGTGGCGAGGCGCTAGCACCATTGTTACTGCAGTAGAGTCTGACCACATATCCATACCTCAGCAAAGGCGGTTGGGTGGGTTTCATTATTCATTCCGAATAAGCACAGACTCTGCTAGAAATGTTGCTCAGGATCGAGCTTTGAAATGGATCCTGAGTCTTTAAATTCTTTCCTGTCTGTTTCAGGAAATCCTGAGATCCTGTTGATAGTGAAGTACAATGTGTCTAAAGTTCACTTCCAAACACTCAGCTCTGCAGTGCAAGTCATCTGCATTCTCTTTACAATTCAGAGCCACCAGAGATCCGCCTAATCTTGGAGATCTGACCCAGTATCATTTAGGGGGAAAAGCCTAGATAATAATTCCACTAGTGAAAGTAGTAAAAGCCTTACAGCTTCTGTCATCTTAAAAGATACCAGGGGGCAGGGGATAAGGCCTTGGATTATGGTTTGGGAACTTTAGTTGTTTGTAAAAATGAAATTATTAGTACATTTTTTATTATTCAAGTTTTTAAGCAACAGGAGCAAATGGCATCTGTTTGTTATCACTCCGCAGAAGACGAAGGCTCAGGTGCCCATGGTGCTGACTGCTGGTCCCAAGTGGCTTCTGGATGTGACTTGGCAAGGAGTGGAGGACAGCAAGAGCAACTGCATTGTGTACAGCAAAGGTAACCTCGTGACCCTTTCCCCTGTCTTCGCAGTGGCACTGACACCTGGGCAAATCATCAGTGCTCCGGAGGAACGGGGTAGAGGACCACGAACGATGGCAGCGCTCGCTCCCTTTTCCCTCTCGAGGCTTCACTGTTCTGTGTTTTCAGTGGGGCATCCTTCTGATTTTTACGTCTGTACAGCATAAACAAAAAATGTCATAGCATTAATTACTTAGTGCTCTGCACATTTGCTAAGTCCCACTGTGTGAGTGGCTTGGTTGGTGTCCCTTCCCTTTACTCCTAGTTTTATAGATAGCTGCCGTGTTTTGTGAAATCTCTTCTTAGGCATTATCAACCCAAAAGTGTATTCCTTTTAAAATTTAGCACTTCGTGTCCAGGCACATGCTTCCAGAGGACACATGGCATTCTGATTCCTGAAATCACAGAGGACGTGAAGGGAGCTGAAAATTAAACCTTTGTAGAGAGCAAATTCTGTCCCGTGATGCTTTGTGAAGGGCAGAAGGTTAACGGGCAAGAGGGGGCCTGATGGCTTGCAGAGTGTTGCCTTTGATTCGCTCAGTGTGACATCAACCTTGCAACCTCTTGTAGCTACAAAAGGATCTGCGGTTCTGTGATGACATATCACGAGACAATTCTCATTGGGACAGGAATGTGGTTCGGTGTTGGGGTTTGGAGACTGGGGTATGGGGGTTGTAGCCTTGTGTATTTTCTCTACCTTTAAGTTACAGGCTCAGTGTTCACACAGGGACGTACCCAGTGTCACTTCTTCGTGAATATTGCAAAACCGTTTGCTTCTCATGTTTCATTCCTTTCAGCTTTCTTTTTTAACCAAATAGACCTACTGAGATCAAAGATGTGTTTGCTCATTGAACCTAGAAACCATGAAAGCATACAAGGCAGCAAGCAAATAAGCACTCCTATCAATACATTAACATGTAAAACACTAATCACAACATCAAAGACTCTTAAAAACTTGCTAGAAACAATTACAACTTGTTCCTATAATCATTACAGTTTGTACATTTATAAGAGGATTGTCTCCAAACTACCCTGGGCCTTTGAGAGCTGAAACACCGGAAAGGGGGAATTTGCAGGCTATCAGCGCAACCTGCACACCAGGCTCTGATTATATTCCTTTCCCGTCCATAATTGCTGGCCACAGACCCATCAATTTTCTAACTCGAAATATCTGTGATATTCTGGCAGGATCATCTTAACTAAAAGAAAAGTGAAAATTCCCTTGGCTGTGTCAGTATAACTTATCAAAATAGATTATAGTGAGTCTGTTTACAACTCCCTACATTCAGAACACAAGTAGGAAAGAGTTTCTGGTGCACAGGTCCCACTGCGAGGATCACATTTCTAGTGGGCAGTAATAATGGATCTTCATTGTGGGGATACATCAGGAAAGAACAGTGAAAACAGCCCTCCTCTGACATGATCCAAAACCACTGTATTTGTACCTGGGATTATTTTAGGAATAATAATTCTGAACTAAAATTATAATTTCATAGTTAACTTTAGTTGAGTGCTTTAACTTAAACATTGGACACAATTTTGTCTTTGTATTAGGGTTGCCCATCCTTCAAGCCTTTTTCAGTAATCAAGTTCTGGGTAATTTTCAGAAGATTGTTAATTATCAGTCAATTAACTAATAATGCATGCATCAAGTCTAATTATGTACTAGCTTTGTACATTGGTAGCCACTATTTTTAAGTACTCTTTAAGTCCTGTCTTTTTGAGCACTCAGGTCCTCTTTAATGGTGTAACAAATTATAGACATGTCTCCCATTTTTTATCATTGCTTTTCTTATAATTGATTATTAATATGTTCTAGAAAAGCAGATGCAAGAAGTTAGCTATTTCTCTTCCCTATCCCATCAACTATCTATTTATTGTGAGTTGGGAGTATGTCTTATTAATTCTCTGCCTTTGGCCAGGCAAGCTCTTTGCACAAAAAGAAAGGGAGAAAAAAAATATTGATTGATGGCTTGGATAAATGATGACTAGTTGTCAGCCATTGTAATGGATGGATCATGTTGCCAAATGATGAATGGCATGAATTGCTTATACTGTCGTGGTTTCTTATTTGCTTGTTTGGTTAGGTTTGTTTGTTTTTGTTTGTTTGTTTTCTTTTTGGCTAAAGAAGGTTATCTGCCACTGTTTAATTTGTAAGAATTTGGGTAACTGGCCTGCAAAATTGCATCATTTTCTTTTTCTCCTGTGAGGTAACAGATGTGCACCTCCATTTTACAAAAGATAAATAAAAGATTTAGGTAGGTAATTTGTGTATTTTTGTCATAAAGCTAACATTCATGTAATATAATGTCTAGTGGTGCACACTAAAGACTACTGTCTCTGCATGAACCTGTATGACAGCTCCGGTTTTCTTCATTTTGCATGTGTGAGATTTAGAGACCTCAATTGCCTCCAGTAATGGAACCTAATAATGGAGGTAAAATTTAATCCAGGTCCTGGCAACTCCAAAGCCTGTTTTCTTTGTACAATGTCACCCTACCTTTCTCTATCCAACCGTTCCATCATGAGTTCCCTCAAAACAGCCAGACCCTTATGCCTAAGATTCATAAAGAACATATATTAAAGTATAATGTTTTTCCCCAAATATTCTGTAGAATCCTACAATTGAGAAAGAGTCTATGACCAAATACTTGTTGCCTGCTATACTATGTCTTGAAAACTCACCATAAATGTTTGGTTGATTACTGCAGTCATGTGAAATGTATTTTCATTTTCTCCTCTCAAGGAGTGCCTCTTGAAGGACTGTGGGTCCTGGTATCATTTGAGTCATGGAAAATTGAGACTCCGCTTCTCTCTCACAGTGTTTGTGAGTCTGTTCATGTGTGTGGAGTGTGTGGTGCATACATGTTTGTGCACACATGTATGTGAATAGTATGTGTCCAGCATGCTTTGAGGAGGTGGAATAGAAGGCACACTCTTCTTGTATAGCGTAGACTGCAGGGAGATCCTGGACTTTAGAGACAGCCTGATTCACTTGCCCAGACTCTATCTCCAGTATGCTTCTGTCTTCTAACTTCCTTTCCTTGTGTAAGAAGCTAGCAGGTGGATAGCTCCAGAACTGTTCTGCGAGCACGAGCACAGTAATCCCAAAGAAAACAGCAACCTTGAGTTTTGAACCAGTGATTCACTGTGACTCTCAGAACTATCCCTTCACCAATGGAGGATGAAGAGAATTAGCCTGACATGAGCCACTGGGGTCAAAAGAATAGTTTCTTAAATACAAGCTTGGAGTTGCTACCACAGCATTGGCCTTCCTGTGGCAGCTTCCAGGTACCTGGATATACTGATTACCAGTGCCAAATCCCTTTGAGCTTTCACTGAGGAAAAAGCACAGGTTCCTGATGACATGACCGTGCTCCTTATTTATTTTCTGGCCAAACACACACACTACTTGCAAATTCTATGTCAATACCATTACCACAGGACGCGACTATCTCAGAGCATATCAGCAAATACAAAATATAAATTTTGTATGTGTAGCATTTTGTAGAAATGGTTTAACTGGGAGAATTTTTAATGTGTTTTTTTACAGGATAAAAATAGGTTTCTTACTGTTACTATTTATGACTCAAAATTACTTAAAATAATATTAAATAGGGCTAAGGACAAAAATAAATAAAGCTTTTATTTTCTAGATATCCAAAAAATAAGTATTTAAAATTTTCATTTTGTCACTTAGGGATATTTGACAAGCTGGTATCATTCTGTTTAGTCAAAGTAGAAAATAAAACAGTTTCTGGCATTAACATTCCTAATCTGATGTGTTTTTCCTGCCTCAACTATTCCATGTCCTTCTAGAAAGTACTTAGGCCATCTAGACAGTTAACGTCTAGATGTTTTGGTCATTTGTTGCCATTATTCTTAACAGACCCCAGATGATTATTTCTCTCTTGGGGCAGCATAGTCAACAGCTCCGTACTGGAGGAGAGTGCGTGCCTAGGCCAGCACTGCTAAAAGTCCGCCTTTGAGTGATGCTCATCTGTTCTTTACTTTCTACAGATTAGGAAGCATGGTTCCTTTTTCGTGCATAAAAACAACAAAGCAAAACAAACAAAACCTTAGTTCACTATTCTGAGTGTTCAATGCTAAACCTTTAGGTTCTTCCACATGGGGTTTTTTGAATCAGCTCGGTTTCAATGTTAATTTTCATGAAGTTGTCTAAATAACTCATCCACCAGATCTCTGTACTAAGTCAACAATGTCAAGCAGAAGAGTAAAAACTGTTAAGTAGCCTTAATTACTACAGATTACATACATAAACATGGAATCATTGCAAAAGGAACCCACATGGAGTCACTTCTCCTCTCTAGATATTGGTTTTCTTAGACTTCTATGACTATAGGGTCCCAATGGCTTCTTGGTGGAATTTTTAATGACAAAACACCTAGATACAAGCCTGTATGTATTATGACAGCCATAATATTCCTGTTTACCATCTATCCAAGCCTGCCCTTTGGATCAAAAAAGTATGAATTGATAGACAATGGCACCAGGCCTTAATATTGATGTGTAAGAATACATGGCCATCTGTTATAATTAATAGGGAAAAATTTCTTAGGTCTCACTTGGTAGCACTGAATCTATTTAACTAGATTTATAAATGTCATACACTCAAAGACCTGAAGCCTTGCCTTATTAAAACATTGGCTTTGTTGTTAATAGAGTACATGCTTTTTTGTTTTTAATATTTCCCTGTTTATTTATGCTCTTATATATTTATTTGTGTGTGTGGTGGGGGAGTCATGTAACATGGCACTTATGTGAAGGTCAGGGGACAACATTCAGGAATTGATTCGCTCCTTTTGATTTTAGGTACCAACAACTGAACTTCAGTATTTGAGTTTTCCGTCAAGCTCCCTTAGCAGCTGAACCATGTCCTTTACTCAATGCTTTTAAAATGAGAATTCTATATAAATATTAGTATGATTATTAATGTGATGATAATACTAATAATAGCT